GATCAGTCTGTGCTCTAATTACATAAGCCTAATGACTAAAGTCTAGACAGAAATATAGTGGAATTATGGGATGTGTGAATTGCATGGAAGATGACCCCTCTAGAGAATTTTCATGTAAGTGAGATTGAGTGGTAATGACAGTTAAGGCCATACATTTGTGGTACTTAGGGGTTCTACAAACGTAGCCCTGTTTGAAGACTCTATCAGGCTGATTTACCAAAGTGAGAATTCAAAGTGAAAACCAAAAGGAAAGTGCTCTGTGCTTAAAGACGCTTATAAATACAATAAAGTGCAAAACAATTAGTGGTAGCAACTTTCACACAATCGTAGGAACTCTTCACCCTACTTAGTGTATTCAGGTAACACTCAACCTTTTCCTCCAAAGTGCCAGCGGTCGGTGTCCTCATATAAGAAGAGACAATAAGGGGAAGACAGGGGGGTGCAGCCAGCCGTAGTGCATTAAATCTTTCAGATAAAAAAATATAGCTGTAACACACAGTTTGCTTCTCACCTTTTTAGGAGTCCAGACCTGGCTCCAAGTGCATTGGTAAACGTATCAATAAAGGGAGATATAACCCTTCTTTAGCAGCAGCAACAACTGTAGGTGATCCACAGGACAATATATCAAATAATATGTAAAAATAGATTACATAAAAATAATAAAACAATTCCATACATATAAAACATCCAAATGGTCCACAGTCCGAGACGTGTTTCGCCAGTCAAACCCAGCTTTTTCAATCGGTATCCATGCTGCTGCTCTTACATGTTTAAATAGCCTCCAATATACATTGATAGGTTAATCTCACTCGTGAGTGAGGATGTCCCTTCCTTGTGACGTAGTGTGCCAATTACCATAGCGCCCGACTCCACTTCCAGGTTCGATCAATTAGCCCGTTGCTCCATCAATGATTCTCATATCCAGGAAGTTGCGTTATAGGTATTCTCGCGTCACTTCTCTTTGTTGGAGATCGACTTTACTGAATAACCCTGTATATATAGCGAAGCCTGGCTGGATTTTACTATATGGTCTCTCTGTTATTCTTCTGAACCTTTTATACTAAAACGTAATCTCTAATGAGTTTACTTTGCAGGTCATCTTCAGAATGGTTCCACCACTTGTGTGTTGATGATCTTCTCAGTGAAAGTTTGTGAATTCCATTTACATAATTCCAAATTACAGAATGAATTTTACAAATCCTACCTGCCACAATAACTTGCTATGATAGTTTAATGGGCCCCTCAGCCAATTGTATGACAGGTTTCACAGGTGTTGAAGATAACCTGTATTCCACCAGCAAGTTTAATTTCAAGAAAGTATCTATGAGATCTATATATCAAATGTCACCTTTCTATCTCTGATCTTTTATTAGGGTTGAATAAACAGAAGGAGAGTTCAGTGTTATGATGTCATATCTTCATTTCATCCGTAGCTGTGGAGTCACCAATAGAAGTAGACTAAGCAATATCTATTTCACTCGAAGAACACATCTCTCTGCTATTGCCCGCTAAACACGCAAACCTAAAACATTGCAAACCTGGCTCTACAAAGTATTGACTTTAGCGGGGTGAATAGTTATGCACATTGACTTTTTCTGTTATTTTGTCCTATTTGTTGTTTGCTTCACAATAAAAAAAAAAATAGATAAAAAAAATCTTCAAAGTTGTGGGCATGTTCTGTAAATTAAATGATGCAAATCCTCAAACAATCCAAGTTAATTTCAGGTTGTGATGCAACAAAACACAAAAAATGCCAAGAGGTATTTGCAAGGCACTGTATACTCATAAACAATCAAAGAAGAAAACGAAATAAATAAAAAGACAAGCATTGTAATCCTTTGTTGGAGAGGAATTTCTTAACGAAACATATAAAATATGGATAAGAGAAATATTTTGACATTAGATTTGAGTAGGACTATATTTAGCTGTAGTAGACAGTGGGGAGGTTTTTTTGCAATTACATTGGTTTTGTTTTACACTTTAATACAATAATGGTTTATCTTACGGCATGTTCTGCTTTTCTTCTGTTGTGCTGGATCTCGTCAAGAAGTGCAGCCAGAACTCTTCGAAGTGTTCATAGATCATAGAACAAAACGAGACCTGCAGTTCCAGGAACATGATGTCAGGTCTCCCTTACTTTTGTTATTGCAAGACACATTGTTACGGGCATAAATAACTATGTATATCTTTACACACAAAAAACACAATGAGGTCAGATTGTTTTGAACTGGGATTTACATTTGGAATCATGTCATGTTGGTGGAATGGTCCATCATTAACTTGCAGTGTTATCCATCCATTTTCTTGTCTATCCATCCATCCAACCTAAACCAATTTGCCAGTATCTGTCACTTTCAGACAAAATCTGCTTTAGGTTCCCAGTACAAAGCATCTGCTAAACTTAAGAAGTAACAGTCCTTCAAATGTCGACGCATGATCACATGAGTCCTTAAAAAGTAAATTGCATTGAGTCCGAAAATGTCAATCGTTGTTACAGTGTCTTAGCATTGTTTCCTACCTGGTTGTGATGTTCTTGGCTCATAGCCACAAGGAAGCTGCACTGGTACAGAGTGACCTTGGAGATCACTGGGACGTAAGAGATTCAGGGACAGGTTCAGATCCAAATTTAAAGCTGAATGGATTCTCTGTTTTTATAATGACAGAACAATAACCTTTCTTGGTATAAAATGTATCTTTCCATGAAAGGGTCATTTGTTTTAATTGTCATAAAGAACAACCAGATCTCTGTAAATGGAATTAATGGCACCTATACTATGCCTGCAGCAAATAAGGAAACTAAATTAATGTGAATATGTTATACCATCTTTTAATGAAATAATGGAGCAAATATCTTTTATTTTATAATGTGAATGGCATAGGGTATCTATCTATCTATCTATCTATATATCTACTATCTGTCTATCTATCTATCTAGAAAATAAATTCAAATGTGTCTGAAATTCAAGTGTATGCAATAATAAATTAAAGCAGGAAAGGAAGCTAAATTAAATTACTGTGCATGGGATAACCATGAGGAAATTCTCAATTGTTTCACTGTTTAGTGATTATAATAACTCTTTTCATTGTCATGGCAATTTATTGAACAAATATTAGGCAAATAGTGCATAGGCAGACTTAAAGGGAAAGATTAATGTAGTGGTTCTGGTGTCTATAGCGGTCTATATTTATAGATGTCAGAGAAAAGTAACACCTCTACTGTCAATCACATGGCCACTAGAGGTGCTTCCTAGTTCAGTGTTGCACAGTGTGCAGCACCTACGTTCAGCATCTCCACAGTCTGCATGGAGATGCAGAACGTTCCCTATATAGATGCATTGACTCAATGCATTTCTATGAGGAGATGCAGAATGACATAGCACAGTGTTTGACGCGCATGCGCATATGCAATAGCTTCCCAATGCTTTCCTTTGATTATCTTGGCAATGGAGGCAGGGTCAGCCGCAGTGAGACCAGTGTGGGATGGGAGAGAAGGTACAGCCTCAGTACGCCACAACAGTGGTATCAAGGTATATAGAATTTCAACATGCATTACCAGATGTGACATATGATACTTAGGCACAATTCTGTTAGTAGGAGCAAAATTGAACAGGTTAGATCCTTAAGTAAGCTAGTAAGGCATACATGTCAAAATACTATCAAAGAGCATGAAACAATAATTAATTCTAACCTGTATGAGAGGGGTGAAACATACAGTTGCAAGAAAAAGTATGTGAACCCTTTGGAATGATATGGATTTCTGCACAAATTGGTCATAAAATGTGATCTGATCATCATCTAAGTCACAACAATAGACAATCACAGTCTGCTTAAACTAATAACACACAAAGAATGAAATGTTGCCATGTTTTTATTGAACACACCATGTAAACATTCACAGTGCAGGTGGAAAAAGTATGTGAACCCCTAGACTAATGACATCTCCAAGAGCTAATTGGAGTGAGATGTCAGCCAACTGGAGTCCAATCAATGAGATGAGATTGGAGGTGTTGGTTACAGCTGCCCTGCCCTATAAAAAACACACACCGGTTCTGGGTTTGCTTTTCACAAGAAGCATTGCCTGATGTGAATGATGCCTCGCACAAAAGAGCTCTCAGAAGACCAACGATTAAGAATTGATGACTTGCATAAAGCTGGAAAGGGTTATAAAAGTATCCCCAAAAGTCTTGCTGTTCATCAGTCCATGGTAAGACAAATTGTCTATAAATGGAGAAAGTTCAGCACTGCTGCTACTCTCCCTAGGAGTGGCCGTCCTGTAAAGATGACTGCAAGAGCACAGCGCAGACTGCTCAACGAAGTGAAGAAGAATCCTAGAGTGTCAGCTAAAGACTTACAAAAGTCACTGGCAGATGCTAACATCCCTGTTAGCTAATCTACAATATGTAAAACACTAAACAAGAATGGATTTCATGGGAGCATACCACAGAGGAAGCCACTGCTGTCCAAACAAAACATTGCTGCATGTTTACAGTTTGCACAAGAGCACCTGGATGTTCCACAGCAGTACTGGCAAAATATTCTGTGGACAGGGGGGCGGGGCCTGACAGCTAACATGGCCGGTTGCACATTATATGAGCTCCTGCAGCAAAGGACTAAAGAGTAAAAATACCGACCGATATACCAGCATTAGCGGCAAACAGGGACCGGTACAAGACGCACAACGGCATCAGGAACAAAATGATTTCTGTCCGGCACCAGTGCGCTGCGGAAAAACTAAAACTGACCATGCGGCCTATACTAGAGCGAAGCCTGAGGACCGGGGGAGGCGGCCGATCTCCTGGCACAGGACACACTCCTAAGCCCATTACAGCTCTGCTACCCGCCCCTCTGGACCGGTGGGGGACATCCCGGTCCTCGCTGGGGACGATTACCCCCACAGGTACACCCGATCAAGCGACAAAACCTTCAATCAAAAGGGACCCCATAGGCCCAGCCAAGATGGCGGCGCGGACGAGGGCTGGGACCCAGCACATATGTATCAAGCCACCCAAGCACACAGGGGTTTTCATTGACCGGCTACGCACCTATTTCTGGGCACAACTTAAAGCCCGAAGACAACCCTACAGGCTGGCGATGAAGGAGGTGGCAGCGTGGATACGCCCGACCACCCGACGCATCCTACAATGGAACCCCCCTCGCAGAGCCGGAGCGGCCTCCAGACAGCATCAGAGCCGAAGCTCGGAGGGGCGAGAGACAGTGCCGGGTCCCACGAGAGCCGAAACTCACGTGCACAAGCCAAGGAACAAGGCCCAATCTACTCCTCATTCAGTGGTCCCAACAACCAAAGGCCGACACATCACGTACCGCAAAACGAGATGGCGGGAAAAGGCGACATATCCCTTGGGCACCAGCACTCCCTCGCATCCACGCGAGGCACAACCTCACAACATGCCGAAAAGCACCACCATGCAGCAAACAACCCCACGGCAACGCGAACTTACACTTCTGCATAGACTGGGCATCGGATGAGCAGATGAAAAGACCCGGACTGCCAGCTGGTTAGCTCCGGTGATGACGCCGATAAAGAAGACCCTGCAGAACCCACTCAACCTGGCGGACATTTGCAATAAGATGCTAGACCCTTTCTATGTTTAAAGCACATCTTGCAGTTTCTCACCTTACTGTTGGGACGTCTCATCTTCCCACATATCATTGGCGTGTCTAACGACATTATTATTCAAGCGATGATATGTTATCAGCCATACAAATAGTACACGTTTATTGTTAGTCTCTCTAATAACTAATCATACTGTTCTCTCACGGTGTAAACTCTGCTATGAATAATCGCTATAAATAGCTTAATAATCTACATGTAGAATCTCTTAAGCAACTACCAGTACACCTAGCATAACCTGCAATAGGAACACCTCACTCTATAGCACTAAACTAATATTTTTCTGCTATGTTTAATCTTGTACTTTACCTTCTATATGCAGCAACACAGAACAACACTTAGATAAGCAATGTTATTATATATAAAATTGTGCAGTATCCACTAATGCCTAACTACTGTCAAGCTATGTTGAAAAATGCTTACTCTAGCTGTTGTGGCATTGTAAGCCAGATGTGAATTGTGTATGCACAAATAAAATAAAGAATTAAAAAAAAAAAAAAAATATTCTGTGGACAGATGAAACCAAAGTTGAGTTGTTTGGAAGAAACACACAACACTATGTGTGGCGAAAAAAAGGCACAGCACACCAACATCAAAACCTCATCCCATCTGTGAAGTATGGTGGTGGGTCATCATGGTTTGGGGCTGCTTTGCTGCGTCAGGGCCTGGACGGATTGCTATCATCGAAGTAAAAATGAATACCCAAGTTTATCAAGACATTTTGCAGGAGAACTTAAGGCCATCTGTCTACCAGCTGAAGCTCAACAGAAGATGGATGTTGCAACCGGACAATGACCCAAAGCATAGAAGTAAATCAACAACAGAATGGCTTAAACAGAAGAAAATACACCTTCTGAAGTGGCCCAGTCAGAGTCCTGACCTCAACCCGATTGAGATGCTGTGGCATGACCTCAAGAAAGCCATTCACACCAGACATCCCAAGAATATTGCTGAACTGAAACAGTTCTGTAAAGAGGAATGGTCAAGAATTACTCCTGACCGTTGTGCACGCCTGATCTGCAACTACAGGAAACGTTTGGTTGAAGTTATTGCTGCCAAAGGAGGTTCAACCAGTTATTAAATCCAAGGGTTCACATACTTTTTCCACCTGCACTGTGAATGTTGACATGGTGTGTTCAATAAAAACATGGCAACATTTCATTCTTTGTGTGTTATTAGTTTAAGCAGACTGCGATTGTCTATTGTTGTGACTTAGATGATGATCAGATCACATTTTATGACCAATTTGTGCAGAAATCCATATCATTCCAAAGGGTTCACATAATTTTTCTTGCAACTGTATTTATATGAAAACTAGCAGGCTCAGACAAGTCTTGGTTGTACTATATATATGCAAAGTGAGATATCCACTGAGATTAGAGATGTAGCTATGGTTATGACCATACTACCATTCCAATTACTTGCAAGAAAATAGGAAAGGATGAACAAATTAAGGAAAATCAAAGATTATAGCTTCGGGCATATCAAACTGCGTCCGGTTGTTCAACGTCAGGATGTGCAATAGGGTTGGGGCACGAACACTGCTGGACTTCCAGGCCGTTCGGGAACGCCGGTCTTTCGGTACTTTTCCTCCCTTATGTATTTGTGTCTTTTATGATGAATGTATGTTAAAGTATATTTCGTGCGGCGTTCGGCTGATTGTGCTGGGATCTGAGCGGTACTTTCACGAAGTGTGTGCTCAGACCCCAGCTATCTGCCAAACGGTCATTCAGTACAGTGACATGAATAAAATGAAAGTTATGTATTTTTATGTAAAAAGCCGGTTCTGCTGTACAGAGGGATAATCTATTTAACAGGATATTCTAGTGGGAGTATCCCTCTCGTACAGCAGTGCACAGTGGGAGAAATGTTCTATATGTTAAGATCCCCATGTAGTCCCCTACTGTACAACCCCTGTAAAGTAATTAAGGAAACCCCTTGCATGGGGAACCACATAAATACTGGAGCTTGTGAATAAAATCGTCAGTTGACTCCCAGAACTGTGTTTCGTCCGGTTACTGGGGGATTTGGGATATTGCCTTCATTTTCAGCGCTTTACTTGGATTAATTTCCGTACCAGCAGAGATATTGGGCTTTAATATTGCAGCTCCGCTACAGAGGTATCCCTAGGGCCTAGGCTGTAATGGAAACACTGCATTTTCTCTGAAAAGATTGTGTTTACTGCAAAATGCATGCAGGGACTGATTATACTCATCAGAACAAATACAATAAGCAAGATTGCAAATACCGAGTTCATGATGTAAATAGCAAAGCAATAATCATTTGAAGATTCAACTATGCAGAATGGATCAATAAACATTAAAACATTTGTATATTTTGTTTTTATTGGTTTAAGAAATATTATAGCTTGGATGGCACAGAAACAATGAGTTTTGTTAAAAAATACTACAACAAAAGTAAATATGAGATTTTTTTTGTATTCACAGGGAATAAACAAAGAATTTGGGAGAAATCAAAAAGATGGATAATATGGCAGTGGCAAATACAACAGAATTAAACACGTTGCTTTTGACATACATAAACACAAATCAACCAAGTAACACCACCATCACCAAACCCGTAGATATAATGGAAGTGGTGTACGTCCTCCTTCTTTTGGGATTTTTTGGATTTTTTACATTTGGTATAATGTTCAGTTACATCCGCTCCAAAAAGCGGGAGCATTCTGATGATCCCTATAATACGTACATCGCTAAAGACTGGAAAAAAAATGAAACGCTACCAATCGCTGTGAGACTGGCATCCTCATGTTATATCGCAGAAAATCAGTTCGCAGCGGAGCAGCCTACCACGCAGCTACCATCCATAAGCACGAACTAATGGAACATGCAACACAAACTGTGACTTGGTTGCCTGGTCTCATTATTATCAGGAAAATCACACATGGAAACAAACTGTTGTATATATAATGTACTGGGTAAGCACAACTGGAACCCAATCACTGAACGGACACTAATTGATACATTTTTTAAGTTTCAAAGTCAGAAATGTATTGAAATTTTTAGTCTTTATGCACACACTTTTATCATGCTCAATTCACTGTACGAGACTCAGAATTTTGCCAACTCTGCAAATAATAGAGCATTTGGAACCCTATTGAAAGAGATACAGTATTATTCTTGCAGGTTTTATGTTATTGAAACAGAACATGCTCCATGATAGTCCATTTAATACACCTTTGTGGAAATATTTATTTTAATAAAGGCATGCTCCCACTGTGTGAAATACAATTGTAATATCTAAAATTATTTTTCAGGCTAGCCACATACATATACAAAACTCTCAGCCATCTCTTCCCAGTTTTAGCTGTTTGTTCATCTCAACAATTTTACCCCTCCCTTCTCCCAGGTCTTATTTTACCCCAGGGGACACATGACGGAAGTTTTTCATCATGCTAGTCTTTTACTTCCGATGCTGTGTCCTTAAGGGGTTAAATACAGAGAAGAGTTAAAATCCCACAAAGGTTTTCTCCTTTTCTGGTCTCCAGGTTTTAAAGGGATTCTATAGTGCAAGGCTAGCAAAGATGTTTCCTGGCACTATAGAACCATACAGTGCTCCCCTCCCTCGCACCGCTCCCATCCCTCTCATGCCGCTGAAGTGGTTAAAACCCCTTCAGTCACGTACCTTAATCCAGCACCGATGACCCCTCGGCGCTGGGTCAGGCTCCGCCCATACTCCTCCCCCGCCAACGTCAGCCGACAAGGAAGACCTAATGCGCATGTGCCGCAATGGCTGCGCTCGCATTGGGATTTCCCCTTTTCAGTTCAGGAAGTCCCTCTAGTGGCTGTCTAGTAGACAGTCACTAGAGGAGGAGTTAACCGTCAGAGGTAATTATTGCAGTTTCTCAGAAACTGCAATAATTACCACTGTAGGATTAAGGGACATTGGACATTGCACCCAGACCACTCCAATGAGCTAAAGTGATCTGGGTGCCTATAGTGTCCCTTTAACATCTCCCAGATTGAAATCACAAAACGCGTGTATTAAACATATACTATATAAATATAGTATTCTCTTCCAATTTTCTCTCTATTGGTAACTTCTAACTTTTTCTGTCAATAAAATCATTATT